CGTGATATTCCAGAAACTAGACAGACACATCCATGGGGAAATCTGGAAGGAGAAAATGTTTATTTACATTTGACATACCTATCTATACCAGTACCTACCCATAGTGACTAAGAACTTGATCTGGTATGAGATTACCTGGATTCTAAACCAACTCCATGATTTATAGTCTGTGTAATCCTGGACAAGTTTCTCCCTGTGTCCCAGTCCCCTCATCAGTAAAATGAAGGAAATAACATTATGTAGAGTTAAGTATAGTTGTACATACAAAATTAGCCTATGAAAAGTACTTTGCATACCCATGACCTAAGAAGCAATATTAAAATTACTATTTCAGTTCCATTACTATTACTGTAAAAAGATACTTGAAGAAGATACACTGAAAATGCTAATAGTATGTCTTGAATTTTGTGGCTGTCGATATTTTTAAAAATATTTGTACTTTGGGGATTTTTTTTCAAGTTTTCTTCAATGAACATGCTATTTTGAATTAAGAGGAAACTTTTCTAATTGTCAAATTATTTCCAAGTCATAAGCATTCTTCTGTGGAAGATAAAATACAAATGATAATTCCTAAGAGAAAGTTTTCTTAAAAATCCTTTTAACAATTAAACACATGAATCCAATTCAAATTAGACTCTATTTCCTGCTATGCTATTCTCTATAAAATAACTGGTAAAAAACCGTTATATTTTACTTATATTTTACCTTAGGGTACAACACAGGAATAGAATGTTTGGGGATATGTAAACTAGATTTGATATTTGTAATGACTTTGTTTTGAATTTCTCATGTTTAGCAACTAATAATTGCACTTGAAATAATTAGCCCATGATTCCTTTGTAATAGCCGAACACCACAAATCGTGTTCTGAAGGTCAATGGTTAAAGTAAATATCCTCAATGGAATAAATGTACCTTTTTCATGGAAGATTAAATAATATCAACTGAATGTGCAGTCTTTTAAACAGAATTCTAAATCATGTCAAGCTGATTCACCTTCTAGTGTGTCCATCTTACATTTTTTTGATTTAGTCCCTGTGCCCTTTTTGTGCTTTCATTAGGTGGAGACCCAGTCTTCTGTACTGGCAACTTTGGACCAATTCATGTCAATTTATACCCAAGGTTTTTCTCTAACATTTCTAATTTCTTTTTTTTTAATGTTTTATTTTATTTATTTTTTTAAGATTATTTATTTATTTATTTGACAGAGAGAGAGAGAGAGAACACAAGCAGGGGGAGTGGCAGAGGGAGAAGGAGAAGCAGGATCCCCACGGAGCAGGGAGCCCGATGCGGGGCTCGATCCCAGGACCCTGGGATCATGACCTGAGCCGAAGGCAGACGCTTAACCATCCGAGCCACCCAGGAGCCCCTAACATTTTTAATTTCTTAATCTTTTTCTTTATTCTTCTTGCTATTATGTCCTCCGTTCTATCTAGTATAACCTGCCACGGTACTATGATCTTTGTTGTAAAACGTGCAGAAGATACTTGGGCAGAAACACGAAAACACTACTTACTGCCCCATTCATAATCAGCTTATCAAATAATGAATTTACTGCGAAGATAAACTTTTTTTTTTCAAAATACATTTGGAACTCTTGTTTAAGAAATGCCTCATAAGATTGTATTAAATTACTATAAATGTACTTACTGGTTTCTGGACACCAGTGCTGTTTAGGATGGCTGTGATGTCTGCCCATATTCAAATGAAACTTGGAGCTTTATGTTACAAATCCAACTGGGGGCGTAGTATTGTTTTTGAAAATAAAATTTGGACGTTCTGGCAGACAATGGCTAGCTGTTCACCAAAATTAGATTTAATAAATAAGTATTATTTTAACTAACCCCGAATGAGGACTGGTTGCAGAGACAGCCTGTTGTCTGTCATCCAGTATCCATTCTCCCTTTTTTGCTGTCATAAATGAAACCCTCACATTGAGTCTCATGGCTGCTCAGTGTGAAACCACATTTATAGCTCCCATTGCATCCACAGCCACCATGTGACTATGCTTGTGCAAAGAGATGTGAGCAGAGATGATATACGTAACCTCTGGTGTATGTCCTTGAAATAAGCTTTGTGCTGTCTACAGTTTCTTTCCCTTGCGCTGGGAGTGGAATTTAGAAGTGCTGATAGACAGCCTCCTTCATCAACACACATGAGAACCACATCCTCAGGGCCGCTGGAGTTAAGAGAGGAGAAACCAGGATCGCTGGATAAGAGTGCAGAGAAGAACCACCTGCTCTTCTAGCTACTTCCAGCTTGGACTTTCATTTCAGAAAGAAAGAACTCTTCTTCACGTTTGAGTCACATTTATTTTGGTCTTTGTTGAAATGACCTGGCATTATTTTAAAATACTACTTGAGAACATAAGAAATAATGTATTTATTACTATAATAAATTTGTGTAGCAGTTTTAGAATACAAAATGTTCTTCACTTTTCTCCAAATTCACAAAATCCTGGGACCTCACTATTATTATCTAAGTTTCACAGGAAGAAACGAAGGCCTGGGAATTTTGCTCTGTCAAAATTTACCCCAATATGTGAGTTCAAATATAACACACCTTTGAACATACGAAGTTTAGTTTTGAGAATAACCTGTAGTAGCTCACGAGAGGTTCTGCTGTGTTAACTTTTCTCCTTTAAAGTCCTTATCGCTGCTAACACCTACTTTACTGGGTCCTGGCTCGAATTCTGACTAACGCTTGACCTTCAAGAAGTTGCTTAATAACCAAAGACCTCAGTCTCCTCTTCTGCTTATATAAAGGATGATGGGGGAAGGGAGAGGCAAATGTGTTTTTAAATAGCAAGCTGCATTTTTTTCATGAACATCAGCCTAGTGGCCCAACTGCAGAGTACCTAGTCCGGTTAATTTTATCTGAAAACCTTTAAAATGAGTATTATAATTCATATTTGAACGCCATACCTCATAGCATGCAGGCACTATAAAATTTGTCTAGCAATGGGCGCCTGGGTGGCTCAGTTGGTTAAGCGACTGCCTTCGGCTCAGGTCATGATCCTGGAGTCCCGGGATCGAGTCCCTCATTGGGCTCCCTGCTCAGCAGGGAGTCTGCTTCTCCCTCTGACCCTCCCCCCTCTCATGCTCTCTCTATCTCATTCTCTCTCTCAAATAAATAAATAAAATCTTTAAAAAAAAATTGTCTAGCAAGTAGCCCTTGATAACCAGTGGGAAATCAGCTCAGGAAGCATGGAGAAGGGGGCAGTATGAAGACTCCTCTGATTTAACCACCTGATCACATCGGTGCAAATGAAGCTGACCCCAGAGATAGGGAGCAGCTTGCCTCGCAGCAGAACCCCAAGAGGAAAGAAATGTTTACTACACCCTGTGAGTGCATAGTTGTTGAGGCAGGTGCTGCTTCTCCCTAAACTGAGAAATGGGCACTAAGAAAACCCTTTTAAGTTAAAAACTCCTGGGTAGAGATGGAAAGTATGCTTAGGGACATGGAGAGTGGATTACCAGGCTGAAAGGTGTGGCTGTTAGAGAGATTTGAGTAGATGGGGGAGGGACAGAAGAGCAGTCACACCTTCCCATCTTTTTCACGGATCCTTCATGTATTGAAATGATGGACATTTCTATCAGATAAGCACACTAACATGGGTCACATATTTAATTTATAAGAAATCAATAGCAAATTTGCTTTTATTTATCCAGATAAGGTCTATTCATGTTGCTTTTCTAATCAATCCCCAAATAAAACTAAAAATTACTTTGTCGTTTAATGTTTATCCTTTGAAATTTAGTGAAACAACTACTAGTTTACTGGGGAAGGGAGTCAGGAAGAGTAAAACATTAATTAATATTATCTATGTTACTATTTTCACCAAATTTTGCTTCCATGAAAACCCTAGACAAATGCAAGTCTGGTTGCAAAATGAACTAGGTTTGTATCCCAACTTTGCTGGAGCTACTTGAGGTCTTTAAACTCAGTTCCCTAATCTGAGTTGTGAATAATGGGCAAGGTTATTGTGAGATTAGAGCTGATAGACGTCAACTACCTGGCATTCATTAGCAAAGTATATAGGTCGTGTACTGATTTGCTCTGCACCTGCACTGAATTAATCAGGCCGCAATAATTGCTTGGGTACAGTACTACGAAAAATCTGATCTAACAATAATGTGTTGTTGTTCGTTAAGCTGAGGAAATATAGCTCATGCAGAATCAATGCCAACATAATGCTTAACCGCAACCCCTTTAATATACTCCTGTTGACCAAAATGAGGCAGCAAATGACAGAAGATGCAGGTATGAAGCTAGATGACAATCTGGGCCAATGGGCGCATAGGCTGGAAGATAAGCCTTGGTTTTGCCTACTTTAATGGAGAACAAGTAACCTTTTCACTGCATCTCAAAAAACAGCTAGAAAATTCTTGTTTTCCTTTTTTTAAGATTTTATTTATTTATTTGAGAGAGAGCGTGCGGACATGAGCGGGGGGCGGGGGCGGACAGAGAGACAGAGAGAGAGTGAGAGAAACAGACTCCCTGCTGAGCAGGGAGCCCGACGTGGGACTCGATCCCAGGACCCTGGGATCATGACCTGAGCCGAAGGCAGATGCTTAACGGACTGAACCACCCAGGTGCCCCGAAATTTCTTGTTTTCTTAAAGAACAGTGATAATCTTTAGTTAATTATCTGCAAAATATTACTCATCAGATGCAAAAACAATCCTTTTCTTCCTCAATATAGTAGTGTACACTAAAACTTAACGGCATTTCTGTAACTTCTTTTCAGGGGGTTAGCATTTTCATTTAGCTGATTAAAATCCATTGTAGATGATAATTATGCCAGCTTTTTAAAAAATCATTCAAACACTCAAAGATGATTTTAAAATCTTTAAATGGCTTGTACCAGATTTTTATTTCTCAAAGGGTTTATACTTATGGAAAATTTGCTTAGATTATGCCCTTTTGTCATATCCTCAGTAAATGTTAAATCAGTGCAAAATGGGTGGATTTGTATTTCTAAAAATAACCTCTTTCACAGGAAGAAGAATTAAGGAAGAGTGGGGAAGCCAAATATGCCCACTTGAGTGATGAACTTCATGTATTAATTGAAGTGTTTGCTCCACCTGGGGAAGCTTATTCACGAATGAGTCATGCATTGGAAGAGATTAAAAAATTCCTGGTTCCCGTAAGTGTCTTTCATTTTTCACAAAGATGTTTCTCATACCTTTTCTTTTTCAAGTGTGCCTTTGGTCTTCACTGACTTTTTAGACGGAGAGTCATATTGCAAACTAATCATTTGTGTAGTTGATAAGAAGGTAAAATAAAATAGAATACAACAAACGCTTAGCACGGGACCTGGCATGTTGCTGCATAACCAAGGTTTGACAGTGTCCTCCGTACATCACCAGGTCACAGTCATGAAGAATAAGACAATTAGCACATAAACACAAATATATAATTGAAGTTGCATGCTTTTCTCTTGTGTCTTAATCACTTGGTAGTTGACATGTTTTCTTGGCAATTTTTAATTAATGGAAAAAGCATTTGCAGGTACAATGGCAGGGGAAAGAGATTAGATATGTAATATATGCAACAAGACAATGATGTTACTTGAAAATATCAAATGTACTGTTACGTGACATTATGCCAGGTGCTGGCTCATTATAAAACATAATGTAAAATAATCAATATTAATAGAGCCAGACATTTGTTGACATCAAACAAAAATTGGAAAAATAAACTCATTGCACTCTATGAGAGCAACAGAGAGTGTTCATTAAGTAAGGCAGCAAACTCAGGGTTGCATATTGGATAGAATTCTCTACTAATTTTCTAAGAAATAGGGGAAGGTTAAATGAATGAAGCTTTTATAAAGGTTGACAATTTAGCATTCTAGGAAGAGGTCATTCAAATAGAAATCTTGGCATTGGGGCTTAGAGCAGGGAATAAGATAATTGGAAGAGAATGCTGAGTAAAGTTTTCTGGAGTGCCTGGGCAGAAGTCTTTGGCAGAGGAGAAAGAGAGTAGCTAAGATTAATCTGTTCAATGAAGAAACACTGTAGGGCGCCTGGGTGGCTCAGTCCTTAAGCCTTCGGCTTAGGTCATGATCCCAGGGTCCTGGGATCGAGTCCCACATCAGGCTCCCTGCTCAGCAAGAAGCCTGCTTCTCCCTCTCCCATTCCCCCTGCTTGTGTTCCTGCTCTCGCTATCTCTCTCTCTCTCAAATAAATAAATAAAATCTTTAAAAAAAAAAAAAGAAAGAAACACTGTAGATTTCTAAAGTAAGCAATGAACTCAGAGGAAATGATGGGTAAGATTCATTGACTGGCAGTGATTTTGAGAATGGGAAAAGGAAAAAAAAAACAGAATTTCGAAATGTAAAAGCGTCAAAATCCAACCACATAATGTATTTATATGCCCAGTTTAAAAATTTCTATCAAGACAAGGTTATAGAATAATCCCATATTACTCTGGCTATTCCCTAACTTTATATGCATGCAGAATTTCTGCACAATTTATTACCTGGTGCTTATCAGAACACCTTCCTAAACAGATCCAATATTTCATAAGCACAAGGTTGTTATCTTCTCTCTTCCTTTTGCATCCAAACTAAATGCCTAGTGCTGTTGGGTAAGCAGTTTTACTATACTTAGCTCAGATCAGACCTCTAGTGATATAAGTGGTATAGAAAAAGGCTAGGACCACCTACATTACTAACTCATTTCATGCCTGTAGACAAATAATTTAAATTCTCAGAGCTTCAGCTTCTTCATCTTTAAAAAAATAATTATAACTGACTGACCTCTATCACAGTTATTGTGAATGTTAAATAGGGTAATGTATATGAAAGGACATAGAAAATTATCACGCACCATTTAAAGGGATGCTTTTAATCTATTTTATTGTTGTGGTAGATAGAATCTTGGAATGACTTTCTGAGATTAAATATGTAAGACGAAACACTATTTCATTGCTACATATATATTGGATCTAAGTTGTGGGCTAGGTTAACCCTATTTTATTATAAATGCCGGTAATACATCTCGCCTACTTCTAGACCTTGTGATACGTGTAATAATTTCATTTATAACTTCTCCACTGAAATATAGACTCCATGAGGGCAGGGCTAGCAGTGTCTCTCTTGTATTCCCATCATTTAGCATCGTGCATGGCACAATAATTATTTGTTTGAGGGTCTGACTGATGGGATGGCTGATTAATAGGCACCAGGAGTGATGCAGAGACATAAAATAGCTATTTGGGTCAAGTTGGAGGAATAGTACCCCACAATTAAGATGCTTTATATATACACATCCAGATGAGGAACGAAAATCTCACATTGGCCAATATGACCGGCTCCTGCCTATCTCGGATTTTCTCCCTGCCTGACCGACTGCTCACTCTGTGCACTCCAGACATGCTGGCTTCTGTTCATCCCGCACGCCAGGCTCTCCAGGCTCACGCCTCACTAAGGGCCTTTGAAGATTCTTCTCCAAAATACTGACACAATTGTCATTCAGGTCTCAGCTCATTTTAGCAATGCAGGAAATTCTTCCCTGACCACACGGTCTAAAGTAACCTCCCTGCATTTGTACAATCCTATTATATTTTGTTCACAATATCACTAGCCCCTTAATTAACCCTGCAATTTATTGTCTTATCATGCTTTAGCCCTCTTCACTTACTTAATTTTCCTCATAGCTTTTATAACTTGTTCTATATATATACACATACGTATATATATTACTTATTTGTTTATTGTTGGTTTTCCTGCTAAAATATAAATGTCATGAGGGTGGGATTATTGTCTCGTTTTACTGCTTTATTCCCCTGTTTTAAACTCTGCCAGACACATGAGGACACTTAATATTTTTTGTATGGGTGAATAAATGATTGAATGAATAAGCTTTTGGTTTGGGGTTTTTTTTTTTAAGATTTTTTTTAAAGATTTATTTATTTTGGTGAGAAAGAGAGCATGCCAGTGCAGGGAGGGCTGGGGGAAAAGGGGAAAGAGAGAAGCAGACTCTCCACTGAACATGGAGCCCAAGGCAGGGCTCAATCTCACAACTCTGAGATCACGACCTGAGCCAGAATCAAGAGTTAGACACTCAACCGACTGAACCACCCAGATGCCCCTGAATAAGCTTTTTAAAAAATAAATAGGGGAGCCTGGGTGGTGCAGTCAGTTAAGCCTCTGACTCTTGGTTTCATCTCAGGTTGTGATCTCAGGGTTGTGAGATCAAGCCCTACATTGGGCTCAGTGTGGAGTCTGCTTAAGATTCTCTCTCCCTCTCCCCCTCCCCAGCCACCCACACCAGCCCCCCATCTCATGCTCGCACTCTCTCTCAATAAATAAGTAAATAGATTTTATTTAGTTAAATAAATAACTATTCTGATAGCTCTCAATGTTGTATTAGTAAATTCTACAATCGGTGGAAGTCCTACTTGATAAATTTTTCCCATCTGCCTTGTTTGCCTCAGCACCAAGAAAAGGATGGCAACTGTCTACTTCATCTTTCACTAGAACCACGGGGGGGCAAATATGAACTGCCAGTTCTTTTTTTATTATAAAAAAATTACTTGCTGATCCAGGTTTCTTTTGACATTCAATATTAAAGTCTATAGAAATGCTAATGTATCAGGACATTAAAATTGACAAATAAAATAGGTGAAGAATTATAGCCAGTAAGAGGCATGTTAGAACCACATAGAAAGCTAATGTAGAATAGGACTACCATCTAATTCCTCTATGAAATGGAGTGTCTTTCCATAGAGTTTTTACCTTCCTTGCCCTTCTTTTATGTTATCCAGCATTTATCCAATGTGCCCTATGTCCAGAGGTTGTAGTTGTTCAAGACTGCTGACTTCGGAACATACAACTTGTCATGAAATGTCTGAATGTGGTAAGCTGTTCGAAAACAACACAGTTTTAGTACTTTAAATGAATTGTTAAGAGAAAAACCATTATTATTACCTTGGGAAAAAATTTCTAACTTGCTGGTCTCCCTCCAGTTACCACAGTCTTATCAAAACAAGTAGAGTGGCACGTCAATAAAATATCAATAAATTGAATTCTTCTAATTTTAAATCTCTAATACTTTGAGCAGATACTCTATTAAAGTTTTCACTTATTGCTAATTTGGCATACAAATACAGATTAAGCATATTAAATCATTTGACAAATAGTGACAAAAGGATATAAAATCCTAATCTATGTTTCAGTAATGCTAATGCCTTTCTCTTTCCTTTGTCGTGTATAAAGCGGTAAACAAATGTTGTCATTATTATCATTATATTTTATCATACTCCTTTCACTTATAGCTCAGACACTAGGACTGTCACATATAGTTGTGCAGATTACCCCTTACACAAGGCTAGGGGATAACATTTACATTGTAGTTTGTGAATGAGACTTCCCTGGGATCCCTGACTACAACTTCCCCTTTTCCAACTTTAAAATAATGGCACTGGGGGCGCCTGGGTGGCTCAGTTGGTTAAGCGACTGCCTTTGGCTCAGGTCATGATCCTGGAGTCCCGGGATCGAGTCCCGCATTGGGCTCCCTGTTCGGCGGGGAGTCTGCTTCTCTCTCTGACCCTCCCCCCTCTCATGCTCTCTGTCTCTCACTCTCTCTCTCTCAAATAAATAAATAAATTTAAAAAATAAATAAATAAATAAAATAATGGCATTGTATTTCATTTTCCTACTGGTTAACTCTCACCTTCAATTAAGTTGAGTTAGTAAGTTTTAATAATGCTTAATAATTAGCTCATGATTGAACATAATACATTGTCTCATAATTAGAATTTAGGAGGGTTTAGCAAAATTCTGCTCATTGAATGTGAGTTTATTCATTCTTTCATAGAAAAGATGAAAGGATGGTTCTCCACACAACCAGGAAATTAGGTCTAGGTCACAGATAACAAACAAATAGATGACTTTGTTACCGGCTCAACAGTTAGTTGTTGACAGAATTAAGAGATCACAGTGCTCATTTCTACCAAGCCCTGGCATGGCCCCAGAATCTCAGCACAGTATGCTACACAACACTAGAATATTATCAGAGTTGACAGAATTTGAAAACAATTTGTCATAACTAGGATAAGTCTCTAATGATCATTGCTAGAGGTTTTGTCACTTAAAGAAAAGGTATTATATAGATATACATATATATGTAATATTCAACA